TACTACTACTGCTAGTGCTACGATACTACAACTACTACTACTGCTACTATGCTGCACTACTATATACGTACTATGATACGATGACTAAAACCACTAAACTCATGCCTTCTAGTACTACTAGTGCCTAACTATTACTACACCACTACTACTATGACTGCTGCTGCTGCTACTACTACTATTACCGGTGCACTACTACTACTACTTACTACTACAAACGACGACTATACTACTATACTACTGCTACTACTTAATACAGTGCTATACTACTATCCTACTACTGATTATATGGACTAAAAACAGTGCACATCTGACACTACTTATACTAGTGCTAGAGATACTAATGCACCTACTACTACTGTACTATGATAAAACCAAGCCCACACTCCGCTACTAGTACTAAGTGTACTATACTACTACTAATTACTACTGCTACTTATGACTGCGCTACTATACTCCAGGGTGGCGAACTACTACTACAACTAATAATCTACTACTACCGCTACTACTACTACCAAGTACTACTATACTGATTACTATGACTAAAAACCAGTGCCACTACTCTGGCTATTATACTATAGTGCTACTATTACTTACTCGTGCTACTACTTACTACTGCTACTATGACTAAAAAACCCACGCAATTACTCCTGTACTACTAAATACTAGTGCTACTATTGCACGACTGTACTACTTAATCGTACTTCTACTGCACTGCATTTACTATACTACTACTACTAAATACTACTACTACTACTGCTACTACTACTACTACTCCGACTAAACCACTGCTACTACTACCAGTGCTGCTCTAATGCCTCACTATGCCACTACTACTACTAATTACTACCATACTACTGGTTACGCTGCTACTATGACTGAAAACCACGCCACTACTAATGCTGACTACTAATACTACCGGCTACTCTACTATTGCTGATACTACGACTACTACGACTAATGCTACAACTACTAATAAATACTACTAATACTACTAGTGCCACTGCTACTACTTACTGCTAATTACTTAATCGGCTACACTACTACTACTGTGCTATATGACTTTAACCAACTGCAATACTATGCTACTACTAATACTACTACGGCTACTACTACTATTGATGATACTACTTACTATACAAACGCTACCACTATACTATTATAACTAATATACTATTAGGGCCACGACGACCTACTTGCGACTACTATACTGCTAATACTACATACTGACTATACTACTACTATCTACTACTACTATATCGTACTACTACACTACTAGTGTAATATCTAGTATACTACTACTACTATACTACTAATACTTCCGACTACTATTATACTAAGGCTCATTATTACATAAAACCAATGACACTACTACTGTACTACAAGGACTATAATACTATACCATACTACTCACTTACTACTTACTAAGTATACTGCTGTTACTACTACTACCAGTGCTACTACACTTATGCTATTACTACTAATACTGCTACTACTTACTACTGCTACTACTACCAGTGCTTACTAAGACTACTTAATACTACTACTACTACGAACTACTGCTATACTACTCTAGTGCTACTACTACTAATATGTACTACTACTCTGTACTACTACTATACTACTAAACTGGCTACTACACTACACTACTAGTGCTACTACTCGTGCTTACAGACTAAAAACCACTGACACTAACTACTGCTGCTACTACTACTACTGCTTGCACTAGCTACTACTGCTGTATATCCTACTACGACTACTACTACTGCTTACTATGACTAACACCACGACACTACTCTGCTACTACTACTGCGAGTGCGCTATACTACTACTACACTTTACTGCTACTACTGGCTGCTACTACTTACGTACTATGCTACTAGACTAAGAACCCCTAACAACTACTCCTGCTAACTCGTTAAATAATAATAGTGCATATTAACTACAACACTACTACTATGCACTTCTGCTGCTGCTACTCTATACCGGTGCTTACTACTACTACTACTTACTACTAAAATACTACTACTACTACTACTACTGGCTACTACACTACTACCCGTGCTACTACTACTATACTACACGGCTATATGACTTAAAACCCGTGCACTACTCCTGCTTATACTTCGACTACTAGTGCTACTATTACTACTACTGCAACTACTACTACTGCTACTATGACTAAAACCACTGCCACTACTCCTGCTACTAGTACTACTAGTGCTACTATTACTACTACTACTACTACTGCTACTACTGCTGCTGCTACTACTACTACCAGTGCTACTACTACTACTACAACTACTTACACTACTAATACTGCTACTACTATACCAATGCTATACTACTAATGCCACTCATGACTAAAAACCAGTGCCCACTATCGCTACTACTACTACTCGTGCTACTATAATATAGTGCTACTTAACTACTGCTACTATGACTAAAACCACTTGCACTACTCCTGCTCCTACTACACAGGCTACTATTGCGTTAATACTGCTACTACTAGTACTTCTAGAAGCCCTATGCGATTACTACTACTATATACTACTACTACTACTACTACTACTAATGCTACTACTACTACTACTTACGACCCTAAAACATGCTACAATTCCAGTTGCTGCTAAACTGACTGTACTGTAATACTACTAATACTATACTAATACTAATACGTAATACTACTAACTGCTGCTACATGACTTAAACCACTGCACACTACTGCTATAAATACTACCCGGCTACTAATACATGCTGAGACACGACTAACTACACGACTGCTACCACTACTTAGACTACTACTACCTACTACACTACTAGTGCCACTGCTGCTACTATACTTGTACTACTAATACGGCTACTATACTACTACTATATGCTACTACTGCTACGTAATAATGCTACTACTACTGCTAATGCTACTGAACTACTACTACAATACTGCGTGCTACTTCTACTACTAAACTGCTATTATACTGCTACACTACTACTACTACTACTTTTACTACTGTACTATTACAACTGTACTACAAAACACCCACTACATTTTTTTTGTTACAAAACGCTCTACTACTACTATGATGCTACGTAGACTAGGCTACTACTACTACTACTGCTTACTACTTCTACTGCGCTATATTATGACTAAAACCACTGCTAATATACTACCACCCACTACTACTACTTACTACTCACTACTACTGCTCTACTACTCCCTACTAATATGCACTACTACTACTACGAATGAATAATACTGCTACTACTACTATGCTACTACTACTACTACTATACGCTAATATGCTACAACTACATACTGCTACTGTTACTACTGTTGCTGATACTACCTATACTTCTACTGTACTAATACTATACTACACTCAAACTGCACTATACTACTACTACGGCTACTGCCTACTACGTTGCTGATACTATATACTACTACTAATGCCTACTCTAGTATACTACACTACACTACTGCTAAGGACTACTACTACTACTGCTACTATCTACTACTACTGCTGCTACTGCTGACTTTAAACTACTGCCACTACTAGACTACTACTAATACTACTAATGTTGCTGTATATACTACTACTGCTACGACTATACTACTGATACTACTGCTAGCTACTATAGTGCCAATACTTCTACTTTACGATACTAAGACTACTACTAGTGCTATACTAGTGGCACTACTAGACTACTAATACTGCTACTACTACTACTACTACTATACTACGATACTCACTACTAATACTACTAATACTATATTCTTACTACTGCTACTTGACTAAAACCAATTACCACTACGCCTGCTACTATATACTACTGTAATTTACTTACGACTACTTACTATGTATACTGCCTCTGCTACTACTACCAGGCTACTACTACGACTACTGCTACTACTATGCTTAACTATACTACAGTGCGCTACTATACTACTAATACTGCTACACTACTTACTGTACCACTACTAAACGGCTTGCTACTACTACTAACTCTAATACTCTACACTACTACTACTACTGTACTACTACTACTACGTACTATATAATAATGCGACTACTACTACTACTACTACTCCTCTATCTGCTACGCTAATAATACTACTACTATACTGACTACTACTGCTATGCTATGCTACTACTGCTACTTCTGACACTTTACTAATGCTTACTACTGCTACTGCTAAATACTTACTATCTACAAACTGCTATACAAGCCTAGCTATACTAATGTACACTACTATCTAACTACTACTACTACTACTACAACGCTACTAATACTACTACTACAATGCAATACTACTACTACTGTTAGTGCTACGACTATATACTACTACTATGACTAATACTAGTGCCACTACTACACTCTTCTAATAGTGTATTACTACTACTACTTAATACTGCTACTACTATACTTACTACTAGCTACTACTACTAATACTACTCTCTACGCTGCTACTACTTTACTACTCTACTGCTCATCTACTATACTTGCTCTTACTATCTGCTGCTACTAATATACTACTTACACTACTGAATACTTACTATACTACTACGCATACTGCTACTACTACTACTATACTCTACTACGACTACTAATACTATTACTACTACTTCTACTTACTACTGATTAATGATACTACAATACTACCTAACACTTTATAATACTACTACTGCTGCTTGGATAATCTTAATACTACGCTTTTAATACGAGTGGCGGGGTGTGTCTCGCTGGTCTGGGCGGGTTGTCTCACTAGTCTGGGCGGGGGTCCGCTGGTCTGGAGGTGTATAGCTGGCTGGGAGAGGTGTCTCGGCTGGTGTGGGCGGGGTGTCAGCTGGTCTGGGCGGGTTGTCGTGGTCTGGGCGGGGGTTGAATCGATGTCGGTTGGGCGGGGTGTCTCGATGGTTGGGCGGGGGGTTCTAGATGGTCTGGCAGAGGGTCTCGGGGTATGGGAGAGTGTCTAGATGTCTGTGCGGGGGGGTGTACGTGTTATGGGCGAGGCGGCTGTATCGCTGGTCTGGGAGGGGTTGTGTCGCGATGGTTGGGCGGGGTGTCTAGATGGTCTGCCGGTTGTGTCTCTTGCTGGTCTGGGAGAGTGTCCGGGTCTGGCGGGGTGTTCGCTGGTCTGGGCGGGGCCGCTGGTTTCTGGGACGGATGAGAGTGGGAGCGTGTCGAGTGTGGGAACGTGTCTAGCTGGTCGGGCGGGGTGTACGATGTGGGTCGGGCGGGGTGTCTCGCTGGTTGGTAAGGGTCTCTTGGTCCGCTGGTCTGGGCGGGTGCTTCACTAGTCTGGTCGGGGTGTCCGGCTGGTCTGGGAGAGGCTCGCTGGTATGGTGTGTGCGTGGTCTGGGAGAGTTTCAGCTGGTAGGGAGGGGGTCCGCTGGTATTGGGCGGGGGTTACGCTGGCTGGGGCGGGGTGCGTAGCAGATTGGTCCTCAGGCGGGGTGTCTGTTGATCTGTTGCTCCTGTGTGAGGTGTTGGGGCTGTTGTGTGAGGGCGATGTCCTTTAGGGTCCCGGGCGAAGGTGGGCACTGCTGCCCTGTTCGCTGCTCTGGCACCCCAATGGTGGAACAAGCTCCCTCACGACGCCAGGACAGCGGAGTCACTCACCCACCTTCCGGAGACACTTTGAAACCCCACCTCTTTAAGGAATACCTGGGATAGGATAAAGTAATCCTTCTACCCCCCCCTTACCCCACCCCACCAAAAAAAAAAAACATATTGTAAAGTGGGTTATCCCCACTGGCCATAAGGTGAATGCACCAATTTGTAAGTCGCTCTGGATAAGAGCGTCTGCTAAATGACGTAAATGTAAATGTTGTATTGGTGGACCTGGTCGTAAAGGCTGTTCCAGTCCAGGGTGGAGTGGTGGGCCAGGTAAACATTTGGTTTTGAGGCACAGTCACGGGAAATACTTGCGTTTACCCGCTGTATGGTAGCAGGGTGGACGTTTTTTCGTGGTAGCAGGGTGGAGATAACCATTTGTGCGTTGTGGAAAGTAGAATACGCTTTTTCAATCATTCCCTTGAGTGCTGTGGCCACACTTTCCTGCTGTGCTCTCAGGTCTTTTGTTCGTGTGTATTATTATGTGGCTGGGTGACCCTTTTTGGTCCTCAGACAGAAGGTGTAGGGCTCGCTGGGAGGTTGACTTTCCGCTTGGGGTTGCTCGTCTGTGGGGTTGTATAATGAGGAGGTTTGGTCTGACACGCTCGGGGTGGGTGTATCTTTCTCAAGAGAGAGCTTATCCTGCTGAGCTATCTCTTTGATTATGTGAAAGTCCAGCTGAAACTGTTTGGGGTTGCCCTGTACCATTACTGTTCCAGACTTATACAGGTTGACTTTGGCTGACTCAGAGTCCTCGTTGTCTACTATCCTGAGTTTCCACCCATCGCTAACATCCCCCCCATCTTAACAGAGGGGTAGTGTGTTAATATAGCACTGTGCCAGGGGATGGTCTGTTAATATAGCACTGTGCCATGCCAGGGGATGGTCTGTTAATATAGCACTGTGCCAGGGGATGGTGTGTTAATATAGCACTGTGCCAGGGGATGGTCTGTTAATATAGCACTGTGCCAGGGGATGGTCTTTAATATAGCACTGCGCCATGGGATGGTCTTTTTAAATAGCAGTGCCAGGGGATGGTCTTTAAAATTAGCACGTGCCGGGGGAGGGTCTTTTAATAACACTGTCCCGGGGGATGGTCGTTAAAAGCACTGGCCGGGATGGTCGTTAATAAGCACTGGGGCCGGGGAGGTCTTTTTAATATACACTTGCCATCCGGGGATGGTCTTTTTAAAAACCCCCCCTGTGCCTGCCGGGGGATGGTCTTTAATTAGCACTGTGCCGGGGGAGGGGTCTTTAAATATGCACGGGCCCGGGGGAGGTCTTTTAAATATGCACGGGCCGGGGGGATGGCTGAAATAGCACGTGCCGGGGGAGGGTTTTTATAGCATGTGCCATCCGGGGGATGGTCTGTTAATATACACTTGCCATCCAGGGGGGGCTTTAAAGCCTGTGCCAGGGAGGGCTTTAATATACACGTGGCCGGGGGTGGTTTTAAATGCACTGTGCCAGGGGAGGTCTTTTAATTAGCACTGTGCCATGCCAGGGGATGGTCTGTTAATATAGCACTGTGCCAGGGGATGGTCTGTTAAATATAGCACTGTGCCAGGGTGGTCTTTTTAATATAGCACGGGTGCCAGGGGATGGTCTGTTAATATACACTGTGCCAGGGGATGGTCTGTTAATATATCATATTGAGGTGTCTGTCTCTTCTAGGTCTAATTTTGGGTCTCTCTCTCTCTAGGTCTATCATTTTGAGGTGTCTGTCTCTCTCTGGGTTTCTAATATTGTCCTCTCTCTCTAGGTCTATATTGAGGTGTCTGTCTCTCTCTAGGTCTAATATTGTCTCTCTCTCTCTAGGTCTATAAATTGAGGTGCGTCTCCTCTAGGTCTAATATTTTCTCTCTCTCTGGGTCTATCATATTGAGGTGTCTGTCCCCTCTTAGGTCTAATATTGTTTCCTCTCTCTGGGTCTAACAATTGAGGTGTCTGTCTCTCTCTAGGTTTAATATTGTCTCTCTCTCTCTAGGTCTATCTTTATTGAGGGGTCTGTCTCTCTCTAGGTCTAATATTGTCTCTCTCTCTCTAGGTCTATCATATTGAGGTGTCTGTCTCTCTCTAGGTCTAATATTGTCTCTCTCTCTCTAGGTCTATCATATTGAGGTGTCTGTCTCTCTCTAGGTCTAATATTGTCTCTCTCTCTTAGGTCTATCATATTGGGGTGTCGTCTCTCTCTAGGTCAAATATTGTCTCTCTCTCTAGGTCTATCATATTGAGGTGTCTGTCTCTCCTAGGTCTAATTGTCTCTCTCTCTCTAGGTCTATCATATTGAGGTTGTCTATCTCCTCTAGGTCTAATATTGTCTCTCTCTCTCTAGGTCTATCATATTGAGGTGTCTGTCTCTCTCTAGGTCTAATATTGTCTCTCTCTCTCTAGGTCTATCATGTTGAGGGTCTGTCTCTCTCTGGGTCAAATATTGTCTCTCTCTCTCTAGGTCATCATATTGGGGTGTCTGTCTCTCTCTAGTCTAATATTGTCTCTCTCTCTCTAGGTCTATCATTTGAGGTGTCTGTCTCTCTCAGGTCTAATATTGTCTCTCTCCTCTAGGTCTATCATATTGAGGTGTCTGTCTCTCTCTAGGTCTAATATTGTCTCTCTCTCTCTAGGTCTATCATATTGAGGGCTGTCTCTCTCTGGGTCTAATATTGTCTCTTCTCCTATAGGTCTATCATATTGAGGTGTCTGTCTCTCTCTAGGTCTAATATTGTCTCTCTCGCTCTAGGTCTATATATTGAGGTGTCTGTCTCTCTCTAGGTCTAATATTGTCCTCCTCTCTAGGTCTATCATATTGAGGTGTCTGTCTCTCTCTAGGTCTAATATTGTCTCTCTCTCTCTAGGTCTATCATATTGAGGTGTCTGTCTCTCTCTAGGTCTAATATTGTCTCTCTCTCTCTAGGTCTATCATATTGAGGTGTCTGTCTCTCTCTAGGTCTAATATTGTCTCTCTCTCTCTAGGTCTATCATATTGAGGTGTCTGTCTCTCTCTAGGTCTAATATTGTCTCTCTCTCTCTAGGTCTATCATATTGAGGCGTCTGTGTTCTCTGTTTGGAACAGTGTTTCTGCTGCGTTGCGTCACCATGTTTGTTACCTCCCTCTCTGTACCTGGACAACACCTGCAGTGCTCCAGTAAGGTGGGGGACACACTTACACACCCAAACTACCTGGTGATTGGTTGATTAAAGGACAGAGTCTGGTGATTGGTTGATTAAAGGACAGAGTCTGATGATTGGTTGATTAAAGGGCAGAGTCTGGTGATTGGTTGATTAAGGGCATAGTCTGATGACTGGTTGATTAAAGGACAGAGTCTGATGATGGTTGATTAAAGGACAGAGTCTGGTGACTGGTTGATTAAAGGGCAGAGTCTGGTGACTGGTTGATTAAAGGACAGAGTCTGGTGACTGGTTGATTAAAGGACAGAGTCTGGTGACTGGTTGATTAAAGGACAGTCTGGTGACTGGTTGATTAAAGGACAGAGTCTGATGATTGGTTGATTAAAGGACAGAGTCTGATGATTGGTTGATTAAAGGGCAGAGTCTTGATGACTGGTTGATTAAAGGACAGAGTCTGGTGACTGGTTGATTAAAGGGCAGAGTCTGGTGACTGGTTGATTAAAGGGCAGAGTCTGGTGACTGGTTGATTAAAGGACAGAGTCTGGTGACTGGTTGATTAAAGGGCAGAGTCTGGTGACTGGTTGATTAAAGGGCAGAGTCTGATGATTGGTTGATTAAAGGACACACTGTTCAGATCATTGCTAACTCTTTGTGTGTGTGTGTGTGTGTGTGTGTGTGTGTTTGTGTGTGTGTGTGTGTGTGTGTGTAGATGTATGGTGATACGTGGTCTAAGGTCCAGAGGGTGTTAGCTATATGGAGTGGCTTTGGGATGACGCTGAATGGAGTGGATACCTGTGGAGATTACATGTTCTCTGGTCACACTGTGGTGCTCACCATGCTCAACTTCTTCATCACAGAGTGTGAGTCATACTGTGTGTGTGTGTGTGTGTGTGTGTGTGTGTGTGTGTGTGTGTGTGTGTGTGTGTGTGTGTGTGTGTGTGTGTGTGTGTGTGTGTGTGTGTGTAACAAAAACATTTGTCACAAAGTGCTGAATAACATCGTGACCTACTAGAGGTCAGAGAGTAATATTACAATGTCTGATTCTATACTGTATATCATGGATATTTCCCATAGATACTCCTCGTAGCTGGCACCTGATCCATACCATCTCCTGGGTTCTGAATCTGTTTGGCATCTTCTTCATCCTGGCGGCTCATGAGCACTACTCCATCGATGTGTTCATAGCCTTCTACATCACCACCAGACTCTTCCTCTACTATCACACTCTGGCCAATACCAGGGCTTTCCAACACAGCCGCCGCGCTCGGATTTGGTTCCCCATGTTCTCCTTCTTCGAATGTAACGTCAACGGCCCTGTTCATAACCAGTACAACTGGCCCTTCAGTGGGCCCGCCTGTATGAAGACACTCATTGGATAACGCACAGTTTAGGGTTAGCCTTTAGCTAGTGTCAGGGTTCCATTGGCCAGATTTTAACTCCAACCTGGGGAATGAAGTATGTTCTAGAATCTAAATAATTACTTATTGTACTTTCAGTATTCTACAGATAATGAATCGATAGCAGTAGATACTGAGCTATTTATAATGTATGTTGTTTATTGATGAGTTGTTTAAATCAGTTAGTTGTGTGTTAGGGTATGTAACTGTCCATATGTAATCTATGGGAATCTGTGCTTCATTCACATCATGTATGTACACTGAGTGTACAAAACATTAGGAGTCTTTCCATGACATAGACTGACCAGGTGAAAGCTATAATCCCTTATTGATGTCACTTATTAAATCCACTTCAATCAGTGTAGATGAAGGGGAGGAGACAGGTTAAAGAATTATTTTTTAAGCGTTGAGACAATTGAGACATGGATTGTGTATGTGTGCCATTCAGAGGGTAAATGGGCAAGACAACATATTTAAGTGCCTTTGAACAGGGTATGGTAGTAAATGCCAGGCACAACGGTTTGAGTGTGTCAAGAACTGCAACGCTGCTGGGTTTTTCACGCTCAACAGTTCTACCACCCAAAGAACATCCAGCCAATGGGTCATTGATGAAAGAGGACAAAGGAGGCTGGCACGAATTGTGCAGAGCAACAGACGGGCTACAGTTAGCCGACTGCCAGTCCAGTACAACACTGGTGCCCAAAGACCCATAAAATAATGCACAACTTGTCGTACCTTCACACGACCTTACAGAGTTCCACTTCTTAAAGCAAAAAACTAAAAACTGAGGTTGCAGTGGGCTAAGGAACGAAAACGCTGGACACTGGAGAATTGGAAAAACATTGGCTGGTCTGATGAATCCCACTTCCTGCTGTTTCACGCTGATGGGAGGACTAGGGTATGGAGAAAACCACATGAGGACATGCATCCATCATGCCGCATGCCAACATTGCAGCTTGGTGGTGTGATGTTGTGGGGTGTGTTTTCATGGCACACATTGGACCCCTTGATAAATGTGGAGCAATGTTTGAATGTCCCAGGATATCTGAATATCATTGCCAATCAGGTGCATTCCCTTCATGGCAGCATTGTATCCATCTGCAAATTGTTTTTTTCAGCAGGATAGAGCACATTTTTTCAGCCCCATGCCACAAGGCTAGGATTGTCAAGGAATGGTTCCACAAACATGACAGTGAATTCAGCTTACTGCAGTGGCCTGCCCAGTCGCCAGATGTCAATCCAATTGAGCATCTGTGGGATGAGATGGAACGAGCTATTCGGAGTAGAGATCCACCACCAGCCAACTTGACAACTGTGGGAAGCATTGGAGACAACATGGGCCAGCATCCCTGTGGAGTGCTTTCGACACCTTGTAAAGTCCATGCCCCAACAAATTGTGGCTGTTCTGAGGGCATAAGTGGGTGCAACTCAATATTGAGAAGGTTTTCCTAATGTTTTGTACACTCAGTGTATGTTTTAGTTCATTTATTGATACTTGTTTTGTTGTTGATAAATCGTTTTTTTGCAATACAGAAATGGTTTTACTTCTAGCGGGGCATAAGAAGGGTTAGAACCATTACACGTTTACAACAGAAGCACAACCCAAGTAATCCATATCCTATTTACAATGCTGTTCTGTTGTTCTATTGGACACTAGATCCTGTTCTGTTGTTCTATTGGACACTAGATCCTGTCCTGTTGTTCTATTGGACACTAGATCCTGTCCTGTTGTTCTATTGGACAGTAGATCCTGTTCTTTTGTTCTATTGGACACTAGATCCTGTCCTGTTGTTCTATTGGACAGTAGATCCTGTTCTGTTGTTCTATTGGACACTAGATCCTGTTCTGTTGTTCTATTGGACAGTAGATCCTGTTCTGTTGTTCTATTGGACACTAGATCCTGTCCTGTTGTTCTATTGGACATTAGATGCTGTTCTATTGGAGAATAGAATCCAGCTGTGATCAAGCTGGTATGCTCTGATTAATCAGTTGTGAATAAATGTTTTTAACTAAAAACGGTGTGTGTCTTGCTTGTGAGTGAGTGAATGTGTATGTATAGCTATTTATGTGTTTCTACCCCTCTTGTAAATACAAACACTTTCTCAGATGTGCAAAAGTTAATCAGTCAAAACAGCCTTCCGTATTTGCATCATATTTACTGTTCCAGCTCTGCCTCAGAGATTGATAGATATAAGAATTATGGGGAAATTCACTATGTATATAGAGATATGGGGAAATTCACTATATATATATATATAGATATGGGGAAATTCACTATATATACAGTGAGGGAAAAAAGTATTTGATCCCCTGCTGATTTTGTAAGTTTGCCCACTGTCAAAGAAATGATCAGTCTATAATTGTAATGGCAGGTTTATTTGAACAGTGAGAGACAGAATAACAACAAAAAAATCCAGAAAAACGCATGTCAAAAATGATTTGCATTTTAATGAGGGAAATAAGTATTTGACCCCTCTGCAAAACATGACTTAGTACTTGGTGGCAAAATCATTGTTGGCAATCACAGAGGTCAGATGTTTCTTGTAGTTGGCCACCAGGTTTGCACACATCTCAGGAGGGATTTTGTCCCACTCCTCTTTGCAGATCTTCTCCAAGTCATTAAGGTTTCGAGGCTGACGTTTGGCAACTCGAATCTTCAGCTCCCTCCACAGATTTTCTTTGGGATTAAGGTCTGGAGACTGGCCCTAGGCCACTCCAGGACCTTAATGTGCTTCTTCTTGAGCCACTCCTTTGTTGCCTTGGCCATGTGTTTTGGGTCATTGTCATGCTGGAATACCCATCCACAACCCATTTTCAATGCCCTGGCTGAGGGAAGGAGGTTCTCACCCAAGATTTGACGGTACATGGCCCCGTCCATCGTCCCTTTGATGCGGTGAAGTTGTCCTGTCCCCTTAGCAGAAAAACACCCCCAAAGCATAATTTTTCCACCTCCATGTTTGACGGTGGGGATGGTGTTCTTGGGGTCATAGGCAGCATTCCTCCTCCTCCAAACACGGCGAGTTGAGTTGATGCCAAAGAGCTCCATTTTGGTCTCATCTGACCACAACAATTTCACCCAGTTCTCCTCTGAATCATTCAGATGTTCATTGGCAAACTTCAGACGGGCATGCATATGTGCTTTCTTGAGCAGGGGGACCTTGCGGGCGCTGCAGGATTTCAGTCCTTCACGGCGTAGTGTGTTACCAGTTGTTTTCTTGGTGACTATGGTCCCAGCTGCCTTGACATCATTGACAATATCCTCCTGTGTAGTTCTGGGCTGATTCCTCACCGTTCTCATGATCATTGCAACTCCACGAGGTGAGATCTTGCATGGAGCCCCAGGCCGAGGGAGATCGACAGTTATTTTGTGTTTCTTCCATTTGCGAATAATCGCACCAACTGTTGTCACCTTCTCACCAACCTGCTTGGTGATGTTCTTGTAGCCCATTCCAGCCTTGTGTAGGTCTACAATCTTGCCCCTGACATCCTTGGAGAGCTATTTGGTCTTGGCCATGGTGGAGAGTTTGGAATCTGATTGATTGATTGATTGCTTCTGTGGACAGGTGCCTTTTATACAGGTAACAAGCTGAGATTTGGAGCACTCCCTTTAAGAGTGTGCTCCTAATCTCAGCTCGTTACCTGTATAAAAGACACCTGGGAGCCAGAAATCTTTCTGATTGAGAGGAGGTCAAATACTTATTTCCCTCATTAAAATACAAATCAATTTATAACATTTTTGACATGTGTTTTTCTGGATTATTTTGTTGTTATTCTGTCTCTCACTGTTCAAATAAACCTACCATTAAAATTATAGACTGATCATTTCTTTGTCAGTGGGCAAAATCAGCAGGGGATCAAATACTTGTTTCCCTCACTGTATAGAAATATGGGGAGAGCTGTATCTATCTGATATAAAGACATTGGGAGGGGAGTTATGGCTATCTATCTGATATAAAACATTGGGCAGGGGAGTTATGGCTATCTATCTGATATAAAGAATTGGGAGGGGAGTTTTGGGTATCTTCTGATATAAAAACTTGGGAGGGGGAGTTTTGGTATCTTCTGATAAAAACTTGGGGGGGGGAGTTATGGGATCATCTGATATAAAAACATTGGGAGGGGAGTTTTCATAAAAATTGATTAAAACATTGGGGGGGAGTTTTTAATACTATCTATTAAAAACATGGGAGGGGATTATCACATATTGTATAAGACATTGGGAGGGGGTTTTTGGGGATCTAATTTATAAAAAGACATGGGGGGGATTTTGGTTCTATCTGATATAAAAACATTGGGGGGGGGGATATGGGTATCTATTGATATAAAGACTTGGAGGGGAGTTTGGGATCTATCTGATATAAAAACATTGGGGGGGGGAGTTATCACTACTATCTGATTAAAGAATTTTGGGGGGGGGGTTTGAATCTACTGATATAAAGACTTTGGGGGGGGAGTTATACTATATCTGATATAAAAAACATTGGGGGGGAGTTATCATACACTGATATAAAAACATTGGAGGGGAGTTTTTGAATATCTATCTGAATATAAAAACATTGGGAGGGGAGTTTTTTGGCTTCTATCGATATAAAGAATGGGGGGAGGGGAGTTATACTAAATCTGATTGGAAGACTTGGGAGGGGGTTATGGCTATCTACTGTTAAAACATTGGGGGGGAGTTATCACTACTTTTATATAAAGACATTGGGGGGGGGAGTTATGGGTATCTATCTGATATAAAGACATTGGGGGGGAGTTTCACTACTACTGATATAAAAACATTGGGGGGGGAGTTATCACTACTATCTTATAAGAATTGGAGGGGGGTTTTCACTACTATCAATAAAGCTTGGGAGGGGGGTTATCACTACATCTTAATAAAGACATTGGGAGGGGAGTTTGACTATCTATCTGAAAAAAAGACAAATTGGGAGGGGAGGTTAGGCTATCTTTAATAAAAACTTGGGAGGGATTTTTGGTAT